AGATCTTACAAAAATGTATTCGTCAGATCAGACCAAATCATATGTAATTGCAACGAATTTGTCAAACCATAAGATACTTATGAATCGTCAAGAGACTGTTTTGGTTATAACATGAAAACAATTATTGGCCAGAATTTGAATATCAGTGCAGTTGTTGTGTGTTGCATGTAAATCAGACATGTTCCGAATATGTTGGAAGGCGATTTCATAATGGAACGAAATGACTCTCAGCATTCTTAGCATTGCTGCAGGGGTGCTATAGCAGGCATTGGCATAAACAGTCATCTTTTATAGACAGTTTTCTCTCTCAGGTCAACTACTGTCAGGACTGAGCAAGAGTTTGAAGAGACACACATAAAAAAGTTGATAGCTAGATACCTGACTTTTGACACTGACTCTTATCGCCCCCTTGAGTACTGAGGTGCATTACTGCCACAGGCTAGCAATACAAGATCACATAAAGTATGTTTAACAGGATGTCACCACTTTACTTCTGTACATCTGGGGTGTCACCTAACTGCCTAAGGTGTGATTCTAGTCTAGGGACTAAAATGGCTTGTGGTATCGCACTCCTAATCCACGCGCCTTCTTCATGGGGGTGTTCAATTTAATCTCACACAGCAAAAGATATTTATAGAAGAAATGAACGCCCCCCTTACGGTACCAATCGCAGACCCTCATATGACAAGCATGTGGAACCTGCGTTTGACACTGCCGCAATGTTACAGCAAGTAGCTCTTGGGCTCTTGAATGTAGAAGAAATGTGTTTGCAAACTGTGGCCCTGGGTGCAGGTTTGGACATGTAGTCATATTCTTACAGTACTAAAGTGACACATCCCTTTTTGAAAATAAAGCTGTTGCTCTTAGAGGCTGAAACACACAACACACAACACACATGCAGGGTCCAGAATTTACACCCAACAAGTGCCAAATGTGAGTAAAAATAAAACTGACTTACTAGCCAGTTGGCTTATACCAGTTTTTAATGAATTACATTTATTATTTGAATCACAATGAAAGAGTGTCATTGTTTATTTATGTGTTTGTTTATTTGTTAATCTGCCTGAGGGATTGGTTCTTTCTTCTTGTAAGTTTTATAGTGATAGAAAGTTTATCATGAGAAATTACAGCAAGTTAAAAGTTACAGCTTTTATTGCTTTTACTTCTGCGCTATACAGTTTTGCCACAAATCTAGACAGACAGACAAACAGAAGTGATGAATCCTGATGACCAGGCTATCCAGCATTATTTGATTGTTGGAGAATGTTCCAAAGAGCAACATGTGCTTCAATAGAAGGTTTGGCAATGGAAGCAGAGTCTGACCTTTTGTCCAAAAGTGTTAGTTTGGTCAATGTCACAAATTTGACTGGCCTAAAAACAGTGCTGAATCTTAAATACTCTGTATTAATTTTACTTTGTAAGTTTGCTTTTTTTTTACTTGTTTCTAATAAACCAGTTACTTTTTGTCTGTAATGTGTTATGTGTTCCTATTGTTTGTTAAAGAATTTATTTATTTTTGTTTTTATTATTTTTTTGCAACTTTTTGTATCTATTTATTTATGGTACATTTAAGTACTTGTGATTTTTAAGTTTTCCTTGTGTGCTCATTCAGTGAAAAGCAGTAATTGTTGACTATGTATTGATGATGATGATGATGATGATGATGATTATTATCATCATCATCAAATCCAAAAAAAACATTGATTATCTATATATGGAATATTTTTAAAAAATATCAATATTTTTAGATGCATGGTCCAACCCATCTTTAGCATCCAATGGAGCCAGTTGAGCTGATTTAGGCATCTGTTTAGGATGCCTCACTAACGCGTTTGGTGGAGGTGTTCAATGTCCATTTGGGAAGAGACCCTAGGACAGACCCAGGATGCACTAGGCTGATTATATCTCTTGAAGAATGCCTTGGGATCCCCCAGGAGGAGTTATTACTGGGGAAAAAGACATGCAGATCGGTCTACTTAGCGTGCTGCCACTGTGACCTGGTTCCAGCTAGGCGACAGGAGAATGGATTGATACATTATGTATGTACTGAAATCAGCTGCAAAGCTGGAAACTTATAACCCAAACTACTGAAAGATTTTACCACAACTGGAATTTTTTGATTCTTCATTAGGGGCTGCAGTGCGATATGTGTCATTAGATGTGCATATCTATGAGTCAGATATTGGAATATTAATTATTTATTCCCTCCTATCAAATCCTGCATTATTATACAACAAGCCTACTCACTTCCTTTCCTCTGTGCTGATCTGAGACCCGTTTTCCCCCAATCATTTCCATATTGACCTTACATTGACTCCCTCTCCAAATGTCTTAATTTCTTCCCCTATCTATTCTTCATTGCATCACCCAGAGGTTAAAGATATTTTCTCTTCCTCTTTCTCACGAGTTCATGTCTGAACAGCAGCTGGGGAATTTACAATGTTCTTCATCTGTTTTCCGCACAGACCCTGTTTATTTAGTCTTAAAACTCAGGATTATGGTGTCTGTGTGTGCTTCTATTTGTGTGTGTGCAAAGAGTTTAGCTAATGGTAGCTGCTGTTAACTTTCCAAAGGGTACAGTGCAACAGAAAGTAATCATTGAGGCATATGACTTTCTTTGTTTCATGGAACCATAAAGAAGTTTAGCCGAAAGTTTACACTATTATTTTCTGTACAATAAAAGCGTATAGTGGCCACAGGCTCTCAAGCTTCGAAAGATCAAAGTATAATTAAATTAGCCCATACTAATATCTGAAGCGATACAGTAACTTTTGTGTGAGGAACAGGCGGAAATTTAAGTCATGTTTCACAAAAAAATCTTCAACCTCAAACCTAATTTGGACTTTTCGACTGTGTAATCTGTTGCTGAGGGGATTTTCAGCTTTTTGATGCCTATCCATATTAATAAAAAAAAAACTTCACAGAAGAATGTCATTTCAAGTATGTATGAATTGAGTCAAATGTTGGCACAATTTTTATTTTTGGCCAAACTTCCCCTTTCAAAATGCAGTATGTAATATTGACAACTAGCGGTTGAAATGGGTACTGCAGTCGAAATTCAAAGGGCCCTATTTAAACGATCTAAGCGCATGGTCTAAAAGCGCAAGGCGCAGGTGCAATTAGGGCATGTCCGAATCGACTTTGCTAGTTTAACGATGGAAAAAAATGGTCTGCGCGCCCAGTGCATGGTCTAAAAGGGTTGTCCCTATTCTCTTAATGAGTAATCAAGAGTCTCATCTCCCATTCCCTTTAAGTGCCAGTTGTGCTCGCGCCGTGGTGGATTCGCTATTTTCATGGCGGAATTTGCAAGCGCAAAGACTGAACGCGAGGAAACGGAGCTGCTCGTGTGCGAGCAAATAGGTAGCCTAATTCTGATACATGCAATGACTATCCATTATGACATGTAGGCATTTTTATATTTATGTTGCCTACACAATAATAATCTTTTACATTATAATCCTTTAATTTTTAATATTTGGCGTTTTTGTGTGTTGCTATGCGTCCCTGTTTGTGCAGAGTGCAGAGCAGAGTGTACGCGCGTTGTGGACCCGCCTATAGGCGCATATTACTAATGTGCTCTAACAAAAAAATACTGTACCATTGACTTTAGACCAAGTTTTAGTTGGTCAATGGCAGAAATGCATTTGCTGTTTAAACAACGTGGCGCAGGACATGAAAATTATAACTGCGTTGGGCTGAAACTAGCAAAAACACTTGCTAAAAACCGTTACATTTAAATGATTTGTTAGGTTTATATATTTTTATTTCATTCTTGTTCTGTTCTGAATACCGTTACATTTAAATTATTTGTTGCGGAGTGAGCTTTACTAACGTATAGCTATGCTTATAGTGTTTATAATGTTTATACATTATAATATTTTACTTTATTTGGTATTATTTCTGGTATTATTGCACTCTCTCCAAACGTTCTGCTGCTCACCAAACAATAAGCAGTAAGCACCAATCAATGAGAGCGAGTTTGAACTTAAGAAAACTGACTGGTCATGGTCAAAAATATGTTGAGGACCAATACTTAACCTCCAAAGACATAAACCTGCGCTCGCTCTCATATGCATGCATGCACGCACTGTCACAATCTAATGCCGGATCCTTAAAAACAATTACCGGAACGCAAAAATCCAAAATCTGACATTTTCCGGAAACAGGATCCGGCTCAAATTAAGCACTGCTGGCGCCGTATTGCATCGGGTGTATGATAGGGCCAAAGTATTGGAGAGAGTTGTTTCTCCCGCCTCCTCCTCAGACTTATACCTGGATAACTGGCTGTAGCATTGTTTTTCAAAGAAACATGTATGTGAACTTGGCATGTTTCCTAAATACCTGCAAACATATTATAGTATTTTTTTATGCTTTAGTACAGTCAAAAAATTACATTAGTACATAAGCAAGTGTGAAGTTTAAATCTAAAACCTAAAAACATGTCAAGCTGATGTGATGCAAATGTTCTCAACTTTGTGTTGAATTTCTTAAGAATTTCTTTGGATCACTTGATCCTTCTCTGAAGGTTTCCTGCATGACGGCAGTTTAGAACAAAGAGGTATGTCTTTTTTTTTTGTTTTCCTTGCCAGGCTATCACAAATATTCTGACCCAGTCTAGGTTGAGAGGTCAAAGGGTCATGTGATCTGATTTTAAGATGTGCCACTGCAGGTCTTGCACCTCTGCAGTCCCCGTGTGACACTGAGCATCTAATAGATCTTTCTCTCACACCATAGTGCCTTTGACGTAAGAACACATACAAAACGGTCACATGCCCCCCTCCCGTGGGTTTCACACAAGCATGACTCCATAAATCGCCCGTTTCTGCGTCTTGTTCAAAACACGTGTTGCGTTCTCAACGTGTTATTGAGAACACATGCTGTTTCTAGGCATCTGACAGTCTTTTGTTGACGTATCCATTTACGCTGGACAGTGTTAAAACATTAACAATGATTGAGTTCACCAAGCTCTGTTTCACTCTTTCCCATCTGTCTCTCCTCAGATCCGCTTCATTTCTCAGACGCAGGGTCTGCCAGGAGAGCATCTGTTAAATGTGGGGACGAAGACGTCTCGCTTCTTTTGCCGGGAGTCAGACTCGCCGTATGCGGCCTGGAGACTTAAAGTGAGATCGAGAACTATGACACACACGCACATCACTTACCCCAGACACCTGTATCATGTTCACTAATGATAAATGTATGTTGAAGAAGGCATCATTGGTAACATTAATTACATTATTGGTTAATATGATTTTTTGTCCACCTACGCAGCCTTGATTATATCATCAGAAAAAGAAAAAGAAAATCAGAGGTGGAAACAATCTTGGAAATTAAGAAAATAATCAGGAAATGCATAGAAAATATTTTGCTTACATAGATCAGTATAAATGTAAACATTATTTGTACAATGTTATGCATTATAAAATGATTTCCTTGACATTATACTGTAATGTTTAAAAAGTTGTATAATTTCTATATTTGTTGTGGGACATGAGCTAGACATTTCTTCATGAAATTCATCCATTGTTACATTTTAGTGAAAGACTATGAAAACAAATAATGTATTGTGCACAATAACAAAATATGCATTGCAAGACCTGGGACAGGTATCAAAGTAAAAAAAGGTCTGTTTGATTTTTTGCTGAGTTTAATAGCTATACATTTTGCATATGTTTCAGTCCACAGAAGAGCATGAGACTGAGACGGGGCTGAAATCAAAAGAAGCCAGAAAGTACATCTTCAGCTGTTTGGAAGACATGGTGCATGTGCGTATCTTTGGATCAAGAACACAAGTTAGAAAATCCTACTTTCACCACAGCAAATTCTATCATGTTGATAATTTAGAGTCCTTAGAAATTCATGTATTAAATATGATAATTTTATATTAAATAAATTACAGATTAAATTACAGATATAAATTACAGAGCAGGTTCTTGAGGTTAGAAAGGCAATAAAAATGTTAGAACAATGTTGTCTGTGGTATATTTTCACTGCAAAACACCACAAGAAATGCCGCAAATTTTGCCGCAAATTTTTAGAAAAGCCGCAACAATCAAACAAAACAGTCATTGTAGGCCGCAAAAATCAGAAAAGAAATTCAGCAAAATCCTGGAGGGACTGTAATATGCTGATTTGGTACTCAAGAAACATTTCTTGTTATTAGCAAAATGTGATGCATTTTTTTAGGATTCTTTGATGAATAGAAAGTACAAAATAACATTTATTTGAAATAGTAAATACATAATTTAATGATATAAAATCTTTGTCACTTTCTGATCCATTTTAATGTGTCCTTGCTAAATAAAACTATTAATTTATTTAAAGAAGAAGAAAAGAAGAAAAAAACATACTAAATGATACGTATTAGAATTCTCTTAAATTGGGCTATGCTTTCTGTGTGTGCAGATACTATGTAGGCCTCAGTATGACTAAACCAACTCTATGATTTGTCTTTTTTTTTCAGGTGAATCTAGTGATGAATCTGGAAGGCTGTGATTTGTTGGCAGAGAAGATTGATCGTGCTGAGTTTGTGGGTTTGCTGAAGAAGATGTTGTTGATCGATGCAGAGGAAAGAATCGCCCCGAGTGATGCCCTTAGCCATCCTTTTGTTACCATGCAGCACCTGTTAGAGTTCCCCCACAGCAACCAGTGAGCGGCTTTTCATTCCTCAACCCTGTTTATGATTCATTCCTTCTGACTTTTTAGGAAAAGCTCTTTGACAGAGGTTTTGTGTTCTGAATTTTGTCTTTATAGTGTCAAATCGTGTTTTCACATTATGGACGTGTGCTGCTCACGACCAGGCAGTTATGAGTCTCTCAGTCGGCCCAAGGCTCCGTTTGTCAGGACTGTCCCGGGCTCTGGTGCAGCGCCCAACATTACCCTGCCCTTCTGCAAGGTGACTGGCATTCACACTCAGGTATTGAAAACATTGGCATTACTGTCAGGAACATTTCAATGCTGCCAAAACGCTTGTGAACACTTAAGATTCTTTTGTATTTTTTACATAAAAATTTGTTCATATTTTTGCTCAGAAATGTCTTTTGACAGACATGTCACATGGCAAATTTTGTTTGCTTTCACGGTTTTCACTGTTTACTGTATACACTTCCTGTTTTCTTCAGCAACCTTGTAAAAACTGTTTTTGTGATGCTATCTGCAATACTTTTCAAGTGAAGGTCAAAGCATGGGTTGAGGGCCTCGAAGTTTATGTTCCTGTAGCTCAAACAGTAGGGTTTGGTTCCCAGAAATGCATTGACTGATATGATGAAGAAATAAATGACTACCGTGGCTGTCACAATGTCAGATTTTTACCTCTACTTTGGGTAAAAGTTGCATCTTTATTTTTAATAATCCCTGGGTCTGATGGTGTATATACAGTGCTTCTTACTATCAAATGAAGATCCACCAATATGCTCTTCATTCCAGAGTCTGGTATCTCTTTAACATATTTTATTTAAATTATGCTGGTTTAAGTTTCTGTAGGAAATTATTATACTCTGCAAACACACTCAGAGTCAACAATTAATCCATTTTAGAGTTTTTACCAAAAGTAAACTTTAAAAGCCTTTTAGAGGAATTTAAATTGGTCGTTTGTGCTATTTCAACTTGTTATTCGCCAACCACCCAACCAACCAACCAGATTTCCACCGCACAGTTATTGTGGCCAAAGGAATTAATGATAAGTATCTACAGAAATTAAAAAAAGAGTGTCTCACCGTAGTAGCTACACACTATGTTTACATGCACTAATTTTGCTGTGTTCAGAACTGGAGAAACTCTGCACAGTATTGTCAATGTTAGTATTGAGTATAATTGTCATTTTTGCCTTGATGACATCTAAAAAGTAAACTGACAAGAGCTGACCAGTTCATATGTACTGTGCATATGCACAAGATGTTTGTGAATTAGAAAATAAGCGTTTACATGTTTAATTGGATTATTTCAGGTCTACAACACCCCTTTCAATCCGATCAAAATTTAATTAGGATAGATTGAGGTGATTACATAAATGCTTTTCAGTCTGATTAAACCATCAGTCACATTATAAGCAGATTTGTTTGGATGCATGCAAACTTGCATCATCTTCCATTTGATGAAGGCGCAGTACTGCCACTTGCTATGCTTGAGTGTCAACTGGCCACTGGATTATTTTCAGTAATGTCAGCTTTCTTTGGATAAAACTGCCTGCCAAATGCATGAATGGGTTACCTTTTTGTACTTTTCTTGATGTACGTAACTGATTACATTATATTGTTACTGTTTATATAAAGTACCGCATTAGTTATCTTCTCTCACAGTGAGTTGGCTTTCTAGTTTCACAGTTAGTGGGCTTCAACAGTGCCATTATCAAGTGTATCAAGCTGGTTGCAGTCATGGCTGAAAAAAAAATTGTCGACAATATTTTAAATGTCAAATATATGTTTGATCTTTATAGGGCATGCAGAATTCCTGCTTCATTTTCCCACCAGATACAGTATTACATCATCTATCCTTTCGTTTATTTCTTTTCCTTTTGCTCTGTCTTGCACTCCTGTCACTTTGTTCTTTTATTGTGGCTTCTGCTTCTTGCCTTTTATTTTGTTAACGTGTGGAGAGTCACATTGACTCATTCCGCATGACACGCAGGTGATGACAGGCTGTCGAAACACAACTGTCACAACACACGCTGCCTCTGACGATATTTAAAATAAGCCTCAATATAATCTTTCCTTCTAAAAAGAGGCTCTCAGAAACGAGCGTTTGATGCAGGTTGTAGGATGATATATATGTTGCTGTATTTCTTTTAGCTGTCCATGTAAATGACCCTTATCACTTCTGCATTGTGATCTTTCTTGTATCTCACAAATTTGAACCCTTATTGCCGTTGTCATGGCAACATTGCTGACATCATGGCAACGTGGAGAGAGCATTCGGTTTCCAAGGAGAGACACGGCAGAAAAACTTTCTACCCACACCAAAATGACCTGAGATAACACGGAGAGATTGTTTTAATGCAATTTGATGACCCTTTAAGCATGATAGTTTGGTTTTTTTCAACATAATGTGTCCCTCCTTGACTCCTTTTGCAACATTCAGTTTTGCAAACGGGTAAATTGTATTAAAAGAAATGAATCTGGTCGGCTGTTTGCAATTAGCTGGAAAAGAAGAACTCTGACTGTGTACCTACTGAAGGAGTTGCCCTGGTCATGTTCATACAATTTTGATCACAGCTATGCTGTTAATGCACGGTTTGTGTTATTTAGTACCCTGGAGTTATGGCTGTGATGCTTGGGAGTGTTAACTTTGATCGAAATGCATGGAAATGTCTATATTACCTTATAATATAGTGTAATGGAAAAAAAATTAAATAAATTGCCCATTGCCGCAGGTGTATAAAATCAAACACCATGCCATGCAACCATGCATTAACAAGCATTTGTGAAAAAAAGAGTCGTTCTGAAGACCTCAGTGAAGGATGCCGCCTAGCCAGTTTGTGAAATTGTATCCCTGCTAGATATTCCACGGTCAACTGTAAGTGGTATTATTGAAAAGTGGAAGCATTTAGGAGCAGCGGCAATTCAGTCACAAAGCGGAAGACTATGTAAAGTCACAGAGCTGGGTCACTGAGTGCTGAGGTGCATGGTATGTAAAAGTCGCCACCACTTTGCTGATTCCTGAAGAGTTCCAAACTTCCACTGGCATTAATAACAACACAAAAACTAGGCGGCAGGAGCTTCATGGAATGGGTTTCCATGGCCGAGCAGCTGCATGCAAGCCTCACAACACAATGTCAAGTGTTAGATAGAGTGGTATAAAGCATTCCACCATTGGACTCTGAAGCAATGGAAATGTGTTCTGTGGAGTGATGAATTATACTCCTTTATTTGTCAGTCTGATGGTCGATTCTGGTTTTGGTGGATACCAGGAGAATGTTACCTGTTTGATTGCGTTGTGCCAACTGTAAAGGTATGGGGCTGTTTTTCAGGGGTTGAGCTAGGCCCCTTATGCTTTAGCATACCAAGACATTTTGGACAATGCCATGATTCCAATGCTATGATTCTTTGTGGGAACACTTTGGGGAAGGGCCTTTTCTGTTGCAGCATGATTGAGTCCCAGTGCAAAAAACTAAGTCCATAAAATATGGTTGGAAGAGTTTGGCATGGAAAAACTTGACTGGTCCGCACAGAGCCCTGAACTCAACCCCATCGAACGCCTTTTGGATGAACTGACACAGAGATTGCAAGCCAGGCTTTCTCGTCCAACATCATTGCCTGACCTCACTAATGCTCTACTGGATGAACGGGCTAAAATTCCCACAGAAACACTTTATAATCTTGTGGAAAGCCTTTCCAGAAGAGTGGAAGCTGTTTTAGCTGAAAAGCTGGGCCAACTCCGTATTAATGTCTATGTAATTAGAATGTCATGTCATTTTCCTGTTGCTTATAATGGTCAGGTGTCCCACTACTTTTCCTCATATAGTGTATAGCTGTACATATAGCTGCACAACATATATTTAAGTATAAAGTGCAATAAAAGGCATTAATTAGAAAATAAATAATAATAATAATAATAAAGCTTGATAACAACAAATTATCTTGTTCAGAAGTTGTCTGTTGCTTCGTTATACATCAGTGATGTCTTGTGCGTCATATTGTGCATGACTCCTTATACATCAGCAACTTCCTATTAAGAACCAAGAAAATTAACTTTTGACATAATTCTAATAAACTTTGTTTATTTTAATTTACATATTATGTGGACTTGTGGCAAACACAAAACAATTCTGTAATGTTAAATAGCTTCATCAGGGCAGTGCTGATGTTCTGTCTATTAATGCTGTGTTGCCCCCTATTGGACATATGAATGCAGTTCACTTTAATGTGTGTCCTAACAAATATCCTTTGTTGCGCCTTTATTTCAAGGAACAAAAGATAATGGCTACCAAAGTATACAGCGAGGTTACAGTTTTTTATTTTTTTTTGTGTTTGCACCTACAGTGCACAGTACTTGATCAAAAATGTACTGAAAATGTATAGTGACTACATGGTTTAAGGTAGTTTTAGGGTTAGGTTCAGAGTTAATACCTAGTTATTACCCAGTTATTACACAGTAATTACATAGTATGCAAATGCAGAACAGGAATGTGCAACTGAATATCACTCATTTAAACTATCTTTTAGACTGTATGTTCTGATTTTTCTATTTTCTTCTCATTCTGTAGGCTTTAGCCTCATCCGCTCCTTCAGTGATGCATCCTGGAATACCTCTCCAGGCAGGAAGTGCTCAGTTTGGTGACTCTTTTCAACAGGCGCTTATTCTCTGTCCCCCAACCTTGCAAGGTACTTCTCTGTGTGTGTGTGTGTGCGTGTGTGTGTGTGTGTGTGTGTGTGTGTGTATGTGTATGTGTGTGTTTAAACAATAATACATGTCAGTGTTGTTTAAGTATCATTGAGATACTATTATAGTTTTCTTAATATTTTGAACTATTTTTTTATTTCTTTTTTCATTTTAATTCATAGTTAGAGTCAGTGTTTTAGATCATTTTGTTGTGTTTTAGTTATTTTGTTGTGTTACGTTATTTGTCTATAATGTTTTAATATTTTTTTGTTATTTTACTAATTCAGCTTCAAATGAAAATAATAGTTTAATTTTTTTTATTATTTTATTAAATTATTATAGTTTTTTGCTCGCTACCCTTTTGTTATTTATCCGTAACATAAAGTTAAGCTGTTTTTTTCAACTTGTTTTATCATTTTTTACAGCAAGCATGGTCAAGTCGTGCCCAGCAGATCCTGGTGCCCACCTGGCCTCAGGTGGCTCCGGTGGCACCTGTGGTGCCTTCAGCAACAACAATGGCCTCAGAAACGGTGGCAGGTCCACAAAGACTAGCAGATTGGGGGTGGGTGAAACGAGTCTCTCTGTCATTGTATAGCAGTATGTGCTGCTATATTTATCTCTCAATTGTTCGGATGTTGTAACACGTTTCAGACTCTTGCGTGAGTCATCTTTCTTTATGCACTTTGAAAGGCTCTGTTTCTCTTTATCTATTGCAGGAAAGTTCATTCCCTTGGCAACCATTACAGCTCCATGATGCCCCACCACCAGCCACTGTTAACCAACCCAATGGCCATGTCAGCTCACCAGCCTATCAGCATAGGGATCGCTCATGTGGTGTGGCCACAGCCAGCTGCTAACAAGAGAAATAAACCATATTCAAACAGGTTAGTCCACACATCATATCCAGACACTCGGTTGATGTATGAAGGACTGGAAGTGCCACTTAAAATCCAAATTTGAAGTAACCAGATATCAAGTAATTAATTAAAACAGGTTATGAAATCACTGTACAGTATTACAAATAAATGCAAATTTTTAAAAACTGTAAATATGCAGTTGATTATAAAAAATAATGTGCTTAAATTGTTTATTGCATTGCACTGCATTTTTTTTTTTTTTTTTTAGATTTCAGGTTTACGACAAGACATTACTCTTATTAATCAATACATTGGTCAATTTGTAAGTTGTTTTGTTTGTTTGTTTTAATTGTATTTATTTCAAGTTTATTAAACTATGTAAGTTTGAATAAATAAATAAATAATTGCAATTGAGTAATGGGCATTGATCAGACAAATGGACATCTAAATTTTAAGTACAATGCAGAAATGGAAAATGCAAATTATGTTATTGAATGTTTCAAATATGATAGTGGATATATACATTTAGCTATACACTGCTTTTTAAACAAATTAGCACATTTTAAATGGAACTTTGCCCAAGTTATGCTTCCATATAAAATTAAGTATTATGATAAGATAATATATTATTTTCAATAATGTGTGTTTTCTATCATAATACTTAATAACACATTAGCCACTTTAATGGATTTAAAAATGAAGGTTTTTATTAGTATTTAAAAAATAAAAAGGAAATAATCACTACATTTTGACCAGTAAATTTGTTATTTTAAATGTTAAAAAATATAATTACATTCTCTTTTTTTACATAAAAAATGCCATTGAACATTTAGTCACAAAGCACTTAAATAACTTTTGACATGATGTTACTTTTTTTGACACACCTTTCACCCACAATACACTCTGTTTGCATCCATTACTCAGCATTCCAAACACATTTTTATTGGTTAATTTGTAAAGAAAATTAATACAGTTTATTTTTAAAATGTAAATATGGTAACTAAATAAACCTCTAAATATTCATAATACATCAATCAATAAATATATCAGCATTTCTTTACATAATCATTTTACAAGCAACTTTGCAATTAGCATTTCAAAGTTGAACACTTTTGTCTTTTGGTAAATGTCGGTGGAGATTTCAGTCACGAAACACACTTTAACAGCATTAAAGGCACAATATGTAATTTTCGCCTGGAGGGCACGTATTCAAAATAAACAAAGAGAAAAAAGGCGTAGTTTAATGACGCTGTGTCTGAGTGTGGATCACGGGGGTCGCCGTATCCATCAACACAGCCGATGCAATCCGACGGGACTCGGGCAGAAATCATGTTCATGGATGAGCTAATGATTTATTAACGTAGTAGAATGAAGCAGGGTGAGGCTGAAAGCCGTCGAAGCGAAACGAGGCAGCTGAACGAGCGTGACACACGGCTCAAAAGCAGCGGAGCTTTTATTATGCCACAGTCGACCGCTTCCGCTCCTTCCGCTCCTGCTTATGTGGGGTAAAAAGCAGCACTGTTTTATGAAACTATATACATTTGAAAGTTCTGTTATAATGCTACTCTGTGCGGTCGTCACCGGTCTATTAAACGCACTACATATTAAAGCGTCTTTGGTGTTTCCATGTTTTCTACAAAACAAAACCGGAAATCGAGGGGTTATGGCGTCATTGGCAGGCGACACAATGACACTATGGACACGGTCTGTGTCACTAGTTAAAATTGCTTGTTTCTCTGGATTTAAACATTCTTCGAAACATTTGGGATGATGTAAGTACACAAGTCAGCAAAATACATAACACTGTTCTTGTGGTTTTTGGATATTTTAATAAAAAAATCTTCCATATTGTGCCTTTATTCAAGAAGTCAGTTTATTGAACCGTCACTGAATTTATTTGTTTACTTTGTTATTTTCAAATACATTTTAATTGAAGTCACACACTTTGCCCTTCATATTGATAGACACTGCTTCTGCTTTTTTTTTTTTTTTTAAGTGTTATCAGCAAGCAACATCGGTTATTACGTTCTTTCCATGCCTACCTATGCTCATCTAATTCATCATTATCATCCCCACCAGAAGTAACAACTTCATGCACAGCTCCAATTCCCAAAACTCATCATGCCAGTCCCCAAAGATGGTAGACAGTGTCAAAAACACAGAGGAGGAGGCAGCGGATTGTGTAGTGGAGGCGGAGTCAGAGGCGGTGCCAGAGGAGGAGCCTGTGTGCTGTAAAGCAGAACCAGAGTATGAGGACTCAACTGTGTCTCCGAAGCAGAGACAGACCATTGTGATCGCCGACTCTCCGAGCCCTCCAGGCAGTATCATCAGTATCAGCAGTGGAACAGATGAGGAGGGGCCGGACACTCAAAAACATTCACTAGAGTGAGTTCACTTTCTGATATATGTCTGGATGTTTTAAAGAGAGAAAAAAATCCATCAGTATTTATTCACCCGTATGTTGCTCTCAAATTTATTTATTTAATGAAGCCAAAGATGGAAGCAAGATTTGAAGATTTTTCCTCACAAAAATGACTGGAAGCCAAATGTGTCCGTCTATGTTTGGCCATATTTTACATCTCCTTCAGTTTACAGTGTGACAAGGTGAAGAAGAGATAACAGATTTAAAAAAGAGAATTAAGTTATCTATAAAAGGTTTCAGCATTACGATACTGCACTACTTTAAATTTAGTAGACCTGAGCTGATTTTAATAAATTGGGGCTTAAGTTTTCATTATAAATCATTGGCGAGATGGCATTTCAGCTGAACTGTATATGTGATAAATGGCTTGTAAAGGCAGTATATGTATAATGTACAATAAAATGGCCATTCAATTTAAGCGGAATATTGCCCTATAAAGTTAAAAAGTTCAATTTGAAGTTAAAAGGTGCATTTCTGTCACTGATGTGAACTAACCACCACACAAAATATAAAGAGCTTCCGGAGTCAACTGTCCAAAACGGGCCTAAACCAGTCAATGTACCAGCACAAAAACACACTCGGCTAAAAATCACAGTAAATATTGACTTTTTTGTCAATGTTGCACACCCTTGAAAGGCAGTGTTTAAAAAGTATACACATTTTGTTTCAGGTGCAAGGGTAGCACGGAGTGTGAGGCATGTCAGAGCACACTGAATATGGAGCGTGTGTGTTCCCTTAGCAGTCCCGATTCAACCCTTAGCACCAGTTCATCTGCTTCAGAACAGTCCAGCGCCTCCCCCTGCAAGAGACCCAACAGGTTTGACCTTCATACATGCACATATTTACTAGTAGTCTGAGGACTTAAGGCCTGTTCACACTATGACCAATATTGGTGTGATATATGAATGGCTGTTCAAACGGACACAAACATTTGCATGCCATCAGTGTAATTTTTTTAAGCATTATTCTAGTGGTGTGATCTCTTTTCCATCACACTGCAAAGAAAACTGGTCAACCAAAAGGATTTGTGCTTTTGGTCACATTCCCAGAGCTGCTGCTGTTACTTAATACTGCAACTTGGTGGTGCTCAGGAACAGACTTTTTGCTAAGCAACGGTAAATAGCAAAGAAATAATTCAGAAGTGGCTCCCCTTCTCTGTCCTCTTGTATTTGGTGTTGTTTCATAAACACCAATCAAATCTGAATGGCTGGTTGAAAACATGTAATACTAATTGACTTATTTTCTTCTCTGAGACAAGTGGATTCTAGAAATGAAAAGTTACGTAGTGCTTTGTGTACACTGGCGTAACCAATGTATTTTTGCTTTTTCATTTAGCCCGTATGCAGTTGAACAGAAAAAATGCTTCTACTCTGTTTATATAAAGCTTTATAATTTACCATTGCTAACCAAATCTACATAAAAGAAAACTTTTTTAAATAGTAAAATCAACAACCCTCAATTTTAATGCTAAACTTTTTATGCTAAACTTTGTTCTCAAGATACTTCACTAACTTGAACATGTAAAAATATGCAATAGAATTGACCATATGACAATCAATTCATTGTTGCATACTGCATAGTTTTACATACCTGTTATATATATATATATATATATATATATATATAAAAACATATAAAAGTATATATTTATATGTATACACTGCCATTAAAATGTTTGGGATAAGTACGATTTTTAAAGTTTTTAAAGAAGTTTCTTATGCTCATCAAGGCTGTATCTATTGGATCGAAAATACAGAACAAAATGGTAATTTTATGAAATATTCATATATATAAAGATAATAATATATTTATTTATTATTTTTTTTCCCAGGATTGTTTGATAAATAAAACAGTTAAAAAGGACAGTGTTTACTCAAAATAGACATTTTGTTACAATATACACTACTATTCAGAAGTTTGGGGTCAGCATTTTTTTTGCGTTTATAAATTAATACTTTTATTCAACAAGGATGTGTTAAATGGATAAAAAAGTGATTTTAAAGACTTACATTGTTAGAAATTTTTTTTATTTTGAATAAATGCTGTTCTTTTTAACTTTTTATTAAACAAAGAATCAAAGAAAAAAGTATCACAGGTTCCAAAAAAATATTAAGCAGAACAGCAGTTTCAACACTGATAATAATCCAGCATATTAGAATGATTTTTGTAGGATCATGTGACACTGAAGGCTGGAGTTATGGCTGATGAAAATTCATTGTTGCGTCACAGAAATAAATTATATTTTAAAATATATTAAAATAGGAAACCAGTATTAGAAATTGCAATAATATTTCACAAAATTACGGTTTCTTCTGTATTTTTGATTTTAAAAAAATCTTACTGATCCCAAACTTTTGAATGGCAGTGAGTATATAAACACACACACAAATAAAAAAAAAGGTATGTAGTGTTCTATTCCAAGCACTCTTTTTCAGCGAGTATGTTTGTGTGTGCTATGAGTGTCTGAGTACTATTTATTTGATCTTTGTTCAGTATGTCAGAAGATGAGCGTGAGAGTGGATGTGATACGGTAGACGGCTCGCCCGCGTCTGTGTCATCCTGTCGAGCTGACAGCCCCTTCCTGGAGGCCACCTATATCAATGACAACAACCAGAACTGCAAAGCCAATGGAACCACACAGGCTGAGTCTACCAAGCTGCCTGTCCGCACCATGGTGGTGCCGCCCATGCGGGTTCAGAATAATAAGCCGATGGGCCGCACAGGTAACAAATCTAATGTATAATGTATATAAAACTAATGAATATTTTCAGGATTGAGAATTGAGGAAAAATGTGCATGTCCAAAACTGAAATTACACCTTGCATATTATTTAAAGGCCAGTATATGGTATTATAATCTTAAACTTTAAATTTGTTTAAATTTAAATTAGTTTTAGGGCTGCCCTTTACTAAAGATTTTTCTGGTCGACTAGTAGTCGTTCGTTTTAAGCATTAGTCGACTAATCGAACATTTATTAATAACCCATTTAAATCATTATAATGAGCCTTCAATTGCCTACATAGCTTAATAATCACTAAAGCACACGCATGAAGCTTGCCACAGCGCACTTCAGGAAGCTAATGATTATGAATGTGTCAGGGAAAACCAGTAAGGAGGCTGCATTAACATTTTAATAATGTATTGATACACTAGTGCTTTCTTTGTTTTCAGCATAAGAGATAAAGTCGGCGACACTGACTCTTCATCTCTACAGTAGTGGATGCTCCCGTATGCATGTTTCACACGGATTACATAACTGGAGAATATTTGTTTTCCATTTGAATTGGTTCATTTGAAAGTAGACATTTCGCTCTCTATAGATATATTTTTCATGTCTGTAAGGCAAATATACACAGAGTTTCTGAGTTTCGCGCTCAGGTTCACAGAGACCAAGACGGCAGAAAGCGCATCCTGTTTGCTTGAATTATTTTACAAAAGCACAATGTTTCGTTGATATTGTGAGTGCACACAAATAAACGTAGAGACTTTACAGTTTCGAAAGATATATTACTCTTATCTGTATGACCGACAATGAGGGCAAGAGCAAGTGTCCACACTGGCGCCTCCATCTGTCCTGCAATGAGCGCTACTGTTCAGCTTCCTCACTCTGCAGACATTTGAATAGCGCACATTTTTCTAGGTTAACATTAGATTGAGCGGCCATGTAAAGTTTTTACTACTTGCATATTTCGGATAAGCCATTTTTGAGGTCGATGAATGATGGCGAGCATTTGGATGTCCAGCCCGTATTACCACAAAGACCAGCCATTAAAGATCTGTCCATCACCGACTGCATGACTTCACCTGTTTTTTTTTTCCTGCGACTAATAAAACTTAACGATTAGTCGACTATTAGGGGGCAGCCCTAATTAGTTTAACTTCAAATTCAACTTCTATTTTCAAATACCAGGTTTACTCCAAACTAATGTATTTGATCTAAGTACAAGAAAACAGAGCAATGCTAACTATTTGATTTGCCGATTTAAAAAAAAAAAAATTTTTGTTGTAATGAACTTAAGTCATTTTTCCATCTGTTGTTCTGAATCCCTTTTGCAAGAAGTTTAAACGTATCAAGCACAATTTCATGAGGCATCTAAGGAGTGTTGCCTAAGTTTGCCTGCTCTTTCCATCATCTACTTATAGAGCCATCATGCCCCCCCAAAGGCCGCAATGGTTCCAACAGACAGCCGCCCTACTCAACGTTACTGGTGAATCGCCAACAGAAGACAGCACAGGCTTTCGCGCCCCTGCAGCCCTCTCAACAGCAATTCCCCTTTAGACAGGTCAGTTCCGTGTCATTTGATGGGTTGTTGTATAGTCAGCTAGATATTAAGATACTACTACTACAACGTACTAATGCAACTAATAAATATATTAGAAGTAAAAAGTAAATAAATAAAAAGAAGCTGAGATGTGTGAATAAAAAAGTGTTCAAAAATTATTGATGCCTTTTCACAGTGAACATGAATTTTGCCACAGATTTTACCACCACATTTAAGTAGAAGCACAGTAAACAATATGAAAATAAAAAATAATTAAATTACATTAATAATTATTTAAAAACATATTTAGGGATTTACGATATTATCAGAACGCTATCGGAATTGGCCGATAAAGGCTTAAAATGTGAACATCGGCATTGGCTGATTTGAAAAAAAAAAATGCTGATATGCCTTGCTGATAAGACGGATAGCTCATAGACGGATGTGCTCAGGGTGTGATAGTGATAAGATCACGTCAGCAGAGTGGTCATTTGCCTGAATGATGATTCGATTCGAGAACAACACATCCAGTGTGCGAGAGAGTCAAAAGTTACTAGCGTGCAGTAGCAACAGCAGCAGCCTCCCCCATCCTGTAAGGCGTTTTATTTACTTAGGGGGCGCTGTTGGCCTAGTTGTAATAAAATAAAAGTAAAATACACAAATATCATTAAGATACTTGTGTTTCTGAATAAAGCAGTATCAATGTCATAAAATCACGAGTCTGTTTTGAATTAAAGGTCAGAAGCTATAGCAGAGGTGGCGAACTCCGGTCCTGGAGAGCCGCAGCCCTGCAGAGTTCAGCTCCAACCCTAATTAAAACTCACCTGCCTGTAGCTTCCTAGTAACCGTTCAGACCTTGATTAGCTTGTTCAGGTGTGTTTGATTAGGGTTGAAGCGAAACTCTGCAGTGCTGCGGCTCTCCAGGACTGACGTTCGCCACCCCTGAGCTATAGCTTACATTAATAAAAATCACAAACATTAATTAATTTACTATATACAGATTTATTGAGTAATATATTTTTTTCAAATGAATTGTGAAAACGTAAATATAGGTTTTTAGAATTTTTAGTTATTTTGCTTTAGACCATCTATTAATGTTAAATCCACAAATAAAATGTTACAGTTTCAACTGCATCTGTCTGAGAAACAAAAAACAGCTGAGATTGATTTTATTACAGTTATTTTCATGGCTTTCAATGTACTCTCATTAAAAAAGAACTTTAAGTTTATTACTTCTAACAAATAAGTTTTTGCTCAAAACTAAGGAAAGTATATGTCAGTATCGGCATCGGCTATCGACCAAAATTATTTGAAAAATATCGGCATATCGGCAAAAATCTAATAACGTGCATCCCTAACATTATTAAATTTAATCTTTAGCAAATTCCAAATTGAATACCCTTTCTTTATATACTGTACATTTTTAAAATAATTGATCGCCTCTTGCGTTTTTTGGAATAAACTGATTGGTTTGTGCTCTAGGTCCAGCATTATGGGTCGTCCCACCAGGAGTGGAACGGCAACTACAGCCACCGCCGGCCTCAAGCGTTCATCCCGCCCACCATTCATGGCCACACATTCACACTGCCTCATGGCAGTCCCACCCACACAGCCCACCCTTCTCAAACACACCTGGGTGTTCACCCTCACACCCAGCCGACTTTACTGTCCTACCCCCCTTCAGGGCCCCTAGTGACAAATGCCTCAATGGCCCACCTCTTGGCTTCACCTGGGGCGACACGGAATCACGTCTTTCAGCCGGCTTATGGCCTCTCCCATCCGGCTGGACACCTTGTGCACCAGGTCACTGTGGGTCTCAGCCGCCTCTTGCCCTCTCCAACTCTCCACCCTCAAGGCCAATTCAAGCCTCTGTTCCCCCCACACTCCTTCATCGCATCACCTGCATATGCAGGCTTCCCGCTTAGTCCCACCAAACTAAACCAGTACCCGTACATCTGAGACTCGCTCTGCAACCCTCTGGAGGGCCGCCGACACGGACGTAACATCGGGCTCTCTGTAGAAGCCACATACAACCTGGTTCTCGCACCTAAAGCCATGGCGCAAGAGAGAAAGAAAGTAGTTTCTTTGAATCACGTAGACTTAATTGAGTGCAATTAAAATTAGCTTTAAAAGAGGAAAGGTTTGGAAAGTCTTTAGCAAGTAGGTAAAGAAAGCGCACGGTTGAGAAGCAAGCGATTGGATAAATAATAAAAAATAAAAAAATGTTTTGCACATTTGATACATCACCTTATCGGATTTTCAGATCTTCAGATTTAAGCGCTCCTCTAATGAAAATCAACAACGGACAGTGTCCAAAATCATGTGATGGTCAACTTATTTTTATACATTGCCTTTACCTTGTATACAACACGTTTGTTTGTAAAGACAGCCCTGTATGTTGTTTACAACATAAAATGTGTCCACTTGCCGTGTTTTCTTGCGTTCCAAGTATTTGTACTTTTCTCTGCGTCTTTGGTGTCGTTTGGAATGGAGTCGTTCGTCACATGCTGCATGTGTTGCATGATGTTGATCAGAGAGAAGCTTGTAGGGGCTCTTGACGTGTCTAGAGGGTCACTGCATTGTTGTCCCCAGCCATAGTGCCTTATATATCGGCAGTCTTTCGTGTTCTACTACACTATCTCTCTGTGTGTATATACAATGTGTTTGTGTGTGTATGTGTCCTGGACTGCAGCAGTTGCAATTCAAATCAGTCCGTGCATTCTTTGTGTGTGCGTGTGTATATGTATTACGTATATATACACACTGGTGTATTATTTCATGCATAGATTGGCATCAATGTACTGCATTGCACAAACTGCAGTGCTTATTTTTGGATCCAATGTATATTTGAGATGTAGTGAGTTAATGTTTGCGTTATTTCTTCGGAAGACGGCATGCTTTTGCTGCTGCAAACGCTTGCTGTTGGATTTGTTCTGATTCTCATTTTTTTCGTTATCTTAAATGAACTAGTTGTGTAGAGGATACAATGAATTTCTATTCAGAAAAATCGACAAAACTAACAGTATTTGTACTGTTTAGTAAAACTGCAATACAATCTATATAGTTTGTTTTTCTTTTTGTCTGTGGATTTAGTTCTTTGGGTTTGTGTGTGTTTGTGTTTGCTGTGGTGGGCATGGCTTCGACTAGATGAAGACACAAATGCAAATATCGGTCTTTGATTCAGGGTCATGGATTCATCTTAGCCTGAGCAGACCATGCAGTATTTGATGTATAGACACATATGAGTATATATCTAATAGAGCTAGTTTATTTAGTGCTGAAGCTTGACACGGTGTGTTTTAAGGTGTGCAATTCTCATTTATGCATGTGTGAATCGATTTTTTTTCTTAATTATATCATTATATCATGTTGAAAGCTTGTTGGTGTCAACTGCATTTTATACATTCCGTCAGGGAGAAATAAATATATATGTGTGTGTGTATATATATATATATATATATATATATATATATTGCAGTGTGCATTTTTGTTTTCAGTTTGTTCTGCTTGGTTTGTGTGTTTTTGCCTCTCAAATGAAGTTGTTTGTGCATCACCAAAGACTGTAATTTGAAGGCTGTGTTCCAAACCTAGTGATCTGCCTAAGCAGGCACTATTTCAAGGCATCATAGTTACTCTCCTGATGCAAAAGCTCTCTGAGATTCTCTTTAATGGAAAGATATCATCCTCCGCTGCTCTAACATTGGAAAAGCATCATGTGTGCCTCGTAAACCAATCACATTATAGCCTTGATGTCACTAAACCACTGTCAATCATGTTTGCAGACATGGCATGAAAAGTGCCGTAAAAGGAAATCCTACTGTTGAAAAAAACAGCATATGCCGGTTAGGTATGTTTTGAAGCTGGTGTCCTTTGCTGGTTTAAGCTGGTCCTTTGCTGGTTTAAGCTGGTCCTTTGCTGGTTTATGCTGGTCATTTGCTGGTTTATGCTGGTCATGTGCTGGTCTTAAGCTGGTCGGACCAGTTTAGGACCAGCAAAGGACCAGCATAAACCAGCTCAAACCAGCATCCCAGCTTCAAAACATACCTAACCAGGTACCTAAACATACCTATTATGCTGTTTTTTTTCAACAGGGCTGTCACAAAATTGTTGGTGGCTTCTGTTATAAAACGGCACATTTTTGCTAGAAACTGTGGATTCATTAGTAAGATTAACAAATTAAACAAAGTCCATTAAAATAGTTCAGTTTGATTAAAAATGTACTATTTTACCCAGTATTTCTGTGATAGCTTAGCTTAGCAACATGCTAACATTACACTATTGAAATGAACTGTGGGCCTAGCCTATTCACAAGTCATTTGTATGACTTATAGAGAGTTACTGCATATGTAAAACTTACTATATCGGCTGTGTATGAAGGCAGTAGACAGCAAAGCAGCTCGTTAGGTTTTGGAACAGAGCCATTTCTCTGAGCAAGGTAGCTACTCTTTCTGCATAGACCTCACGTATACTTGTAGTAATTATAGTCATGGGGTAAATTTCTAAAAGTATTTAAAAAATGGCTGAGGTTATGTTTAGCTTTTTGAACAAGTAATAAGTCGTATCATCTATCTTGAATGTATCATAGACAAGCTGCTATATATTGATTGCCACTTCAGATAGCTGTGAAATTAGATTAGACTAGTTCATATCTGCATTCGTTTATTTGTATGGGTCTCTCTGATTGCCTAAACTAGAAGTGGATTTTGATTTTGAGTAAATTTTTAGCTTCAATGTTTGGAGTGTCATTGTAACTACTGTATTGCTGATATTGGACATTTAGAATTGTTTTTCTTTTTTTCAAATCAGTATTGTATCTTCATAGCTGTTCTGGCTCATCACTGCATATTGATGGATGTGTTTGTGTAACTTAATTTTTGTTTACCTGCTTATCTGTATATTAACGTTTACCTGCGTATCTGTTTTTGACTTGTAATAGCTTGCAGGATTGATTTAACTTTATCCAAATGAACAGTTATTCTGCAGTGTTTCAGAAATACAAACATCGCTATTTTCGTTAAGGTTTTTTTTTTTTTTTCCTCCTATTTCTTTTCTCGGTTAATATGATAATCAACCCCATAACCTCATACCACTGAGCACTTATTAAAACGCTAGTGTGCAGTACACATGGCCATGTTTTGATATACAGTGTTGTGATTAAATGAATTTAGTGTCCAACTGAATTGTGATTTTATTAATGTTTGTTATTTGAAATTTGAGAACATGTTTTTAACAAATGATCACTGATGTCAGCTGGTATGTTATATTCGTGTCTGGTCTGGTCATGTCTTTTTTTCTTTTTTTTGTGAGTAGTGTAAGCAACACTGTGTGTGCCTTGATTGAGATATTGGTAATGACACATTCACTTTGCAAAAACAAGTATTCGGCTCACCCACTGACCAGACCAAATATAAGAAAGAGCAAACAGTATAACTTTCCATTCCAGGGATCGAAATGGTTATATACACTTTTAAATAAATAAATAATCATATATGCATTCATTTGAGTTAATAATCACTAATATATGTCTATTTAATCTTAACCAGCTAATTCTAACATTTGTGACATTGTAATTTCAATCTTTGCATAAAGAATGTAATATATTGCACCCTGTGCATGTTTCGATCCCTGTGAAATGGCATTCACCAGCATTTAGCCTGAATACATCCAGTGTCAATATAGAAAAGACTGTACTCGACACTTTCAGTATTTATTGTATGTTCATATTTAAACAAATTCAAGTTGATATGGATGATTTCTGTTGAACTTTTTTTCTATTAACAGCATTCAATAAACATTAATGCCACCGTTTTAATGACATTCATTGCTTTTATGCATTTTTTAAATAATTATCATTTTGGAAGTAATGTATTGGCAAAATTACAGCCGTTTTTTTTTTTGGTGAATTATTTGACCTAAAATATTTACCATTCAACCCGAAATTGGTTTCCCGGTCCATGTTATGTGCTTTGTAATCCGTGTATACAAGTTTCATGGTTTATAGCATATTTTACAATCTATCAAATAAGTTATTTCACACTGCAAGTTATGGATTTCATGTTTCAATTACTTGGTTAATTAAGAGTTTTAAATTTCACTGTTTTGATATTTGTAGACTTGTATGGCTTTTTTGTTTAGGGTTTTGTTTCATTTGCTTATTTGATTTGATTTGATGCTACTTTAGTTTGTCACATAGCACTTGCACTGTGCAATATTTAACAGTATGAGGACTGGGTAAATGTAACCCTTTGGATATAATATCTTTACAGAGTGTAATTGATGTTTCCTCTCTAGTTCTCAGTGAATAAAGATGTGACCAAGCCTTCTTTACTTAGTCACATTAAACAGAATTTCCAGGTGACTTTTGGTGAGTGAATAAGAATTCATGGTGTTTTGTTGTCAAGGTTCACTTTGAATACAAAAGAAAAATAAAGCAGAATAAAATGTATTGTTGCAACCCTTTCTAATTGTATTACTTATGGAAACAATATATGGCAGGTATCTTTGTATCTTTGCAGTACATAACATGAGATGTTCATCTTTCAAAATGTGTAATCTTTGGTCTGTCCGTCTATCTATCTATGCACACTCACAACTGTGCTTCAATGCGCAACAGGTAAAACATTTGAAATTATGATTCTTATGTTTTTGAAAGACATCTCATGTTCACCAGTGCACAAAAGTTTGATAAAAAAAATACATTAAAACAGCATTTTTATGAAGTATTAACTTTAAATTTACTTTATCATTCTAATATGCTGATTTGTTGTATACATACATGTACACATAAATACATCTCTCTCTCTCTCTCTCTCGCTCTATATATATATATATATATATATATATATATATACATTTTGTTTTGTTTTTTACTTTATATTTATGTGGAAACCATGATGCTTTTTTTGAGAAATGGACATAATTTAGAATTAGAAATCTTTTGTAAAATTATAAATGTATTCACTAAATGTAATGCATCTTTGCTGTATATATATGTATATTCATACGTATATGTGACCCTGGACCACAAAACCAGTCTTAAGTTGCTGGGGTATATTTATATTGGGGTATATTTAACTTAAAGACTTCAGTCTGTGTGCATTGAATTTATTTAATACACGAGTTTCACAATTTGAGTTGAATTAATGAAATAAATGAACTTTTCCATGACATTCTAATTTATTGAGATGCACCTGTATGTGTGTGTGTATATATATATATCTGTATCAGGACATAATAAAAATCATCTGCTCCTTGCCAGGTCTTCAAATTTGGACAATTAAACCTCAGAGGAATAAAAACACATGGCATATCACACCGGGCCACTATTTATTTAGCCCTGCCAAGGACCAGATGATTTTTTAATAAGTCCCCTGATACGGAAAACCATGGAATTCAACAGGGTGTTCTTTCTTTTTCTAATGAATTATGTATCATGAATTATGTATATTATGTATATATATAAATACACCCACACGTACAGTTTATATTTTGAAAATATTTACATGTTTCTAAATGTATATGTTCAAATTCTTATATTTTATATTAATATATAAACATAGCATGTTTTTCTTAAAAATACACATGCATGTGTTTGTATTTATATATACATAAGTATACACATATATTATGTAAACAAAACTTTTAGTTTGGATGCGATTCATCGTTATATATAACATTCTGGCACCTGATTCAGTATAACTTTCAATGTGCTAAAACTTAACAGCTACTACAAAACGCCTACTCAAAGTAGCACCCATAGGATCTTTAATTTTGTAGCACCTTTGTTGTTGGGGATTATCTCCTGTTGCAAGAAGAACAGCTAATGAATTTACTTAATAAAAACGATTCAATGAAAGTGTGTATTCCTAATATTAGTATTATTACATAACCGTTTTTAAAAGCAAATATAGCCACTTGAGACACAGCTAAAAGAGCTTAGGCAGTCAGTCAGCATCCAGACCTGGAACAAAGTGTTTACATAGCGTTTTTTGTATGTTTGTTTTTATTAGAAACTGGTGGATTGTATTAGAAATCAGTCTAATAGTAATATTCTATACTGACCACTAGAGCACGCGCATGGTACAAAACGAATACAGCTCCAGCTTCCCTGCATGCGAGCACTCACAAGACTGCTGAACAACAGACAAAGAATTGCATGCATCCTTTCCAACATCCGATCACATTATGGGCGGTAAGGGGTTTGAGAAATAGATAAACCATTCAAAAATGCAGCCCCCTCTCGCTTCCCCTGTGTCGCAGTGATGGTGGACTTTGGGCATTTTCACGAATGCGGCTCTCCTCTGGCACTTGGAGCGGCGTGACCACCGCACGTCCCACTGACTCACGGATCTGAGCAGATGTCTGGTCCAGTACCGACACCGGGCCACCTCCTCTTCAAACGCAAATGGCTGGTCGTGTAGAGGGAACCTGGATAGATGTGCACAGATTGAGCATCCTGAGAGAGAGGAGGAGAAGATGCTCATGCACACATGCGTCTGGAGGGATGCGGAGCACTAAACTCTCATCTTTAGCAATATTCCTACTTTTGTTCCACAGCGCGCAGGCTTACGACGGTAAGGCGACATCTCATCTAGAAAGCTGGCGTCTTAAAATACTGTTTTCTCACGCAGCTTTTACATGAATGATTGAAACAATGATTTTGTTGAAAAGAAAAGCCTTGCACCTTTGCTGATTGCACATGCACTGAAAGTGATTTCATTGCATCTAAAAACACATAAAAGCAATGTTTTCATACAACCATAGGCCTCTACTCATATATTGAGACATTTTTGTATGTATTTTTGTATTGCATGTGTCAAATATGCAAAATGACTAGCCTACACACTACTTTGCCTTGACTTTTGTGTGTGTGTGTGTGAGATGTGATGAAGCGCACGTGAGTGTCCAGCAGTAACGCAGTGAAGTGTGTAGGCGCGCGCTGATTGATACTGCAGCTCTACACGAGAGATTGCAGCACTCTATTGTCTTTATAACACACCTAACACGCTTAAACCACATCTGTTTCCTGACATAACTGCACATGCATCATTTAATTGCATGAAATAACTAACATCACTATCCCAAAGCGTCTAATCTAGGGACTAATCATTTGTTGAGATCATATATTGCACACTAGGCGTCTTAAATCAACCGGTGCAAAGGAGCATTAAAACTGTCCACCGCAGCACGGTCTGATTTTAGATGCTGACTGAGGCTTGCTGGTCCTAAAAACGCTGGAAGAGCAACTGCAGAGATCTTGTTGTTGTTCTTCTACATTGTGAATGAATGTGGACTAAATGTCTCCACAGTTTAATGAAAGCTTAACATATTCATGCCAATTAAAATTAAAAGGAAGAAAAATATATTTAGTGCAGAATAAAAATAAAATAAGATTCAAAGGAAAGTCTCTGTGTGTGTGTCCAGTTGAGAAGTGAAGATTTGCTTTAACTGGGTCACTGTGCTGTGAGCGAGATAGATCAGTGTTTTGACCTGTTTGAATATTTCTCCCAAACATTTATAGCATGTTGGAGAGTGCGGGTTGGTTGGTACAGGATTTGGTGTTGGGTCATATTTTGGTGCGGTCACATACATTGTGTTCTCTTTACCTACACTCATTTAATTTATCAAGACATTAAAAAGTCAAAACCCGTCAAGATAAAATCAAATGAAATTTGGAGAAATTTAACATTATGTCACTTGCTCACCAGTGGATTCTCTGCAGTGAATGGGTGCCGTCAGAATGAGAGTTCAAACAGCTGATAAAAACATCACAATAATCCAAAGTAATCTACACAATCCTCTATCGACTCAAATCCACCAATTAATATCTTGTGAAGTTGATTTAATTTGTTATAATTATGATTTTTCAAAACAAGCAGTACAGCTCATTCCTTGAATTATTTCTGTGCAACCAGTTTTTCATTCATCTTAACTGAAAGTAAAGCAAATTCAAAACTGATAACCAATATGGATGGATGTGAATTGATTAGTAATGTGGTAAATAGTTGTTATATGCAAAGCAAATTGGGAAAATGAACATGAAAAGCCATAGTTCCATGGTTTACAAGCTAAAGATGTATTGACTATATATTTGTACTAGGGCTGTCAGTCGATTAATTTTTTTTTATCTAACTACATGATGTGTCGATTAATTAATCGAATTAATCGCAAATAACATTTGGCTGTGAAATTACCCCCAAAAGATTATTTAAAAGCTTATTTGCAAGCAATTTTTGTGTTAAATGAGAAAGTATTAAGTAGACATTACAAATAGTAACTTTAGAAAGAAATATTTTATTTGATTCAACGTGAAATTTACTACACATAAACGTTTAGACTTCAACGGCCTAACATAAACTATGGAACATAAAAGAAGAAAATTTGAGAAACATCTCAGGTTTTTTTGTTTTTTTTGTTACCAACATTCTTCAAAATACCTTCTTTTATGTTGCACAAAAGAAAATAAGTCATTCAGGGTTGAGTAAATGATGACATTTTTAAAGACCTTTAAAGTTTTTCCCCCCTTTTTTAATTAAATAATATTCTAAATAAGAAACTAAATCTGCCAGCAGGTGGCGATAAATGTCTTTAGGAGTTCAACGGCTGATTCATTCAGGAATGACTTAACGTTTGATTTGATTCACACGATTCGTTCAAAACACGGATTCATTCAGAAATTAAACACAGATGTGTTCCTCAGAGATGCACAACAATTCTGCTGTGGCTTTATTATAGGTAATATTTTTGTTGGCCAAACTGAGCAAAAACAGACAATATTGTGTTTAAAATATAACACAATATCAACTTCTTATTTACTGAACTGTTGAATAAAATTTGCTTGTGCTATTCGGGACAAACGTGTGAGATAAAAACTCATACAGGAGCATTTTCGCCCCAATATCTTGAATTTTATGGCATAACTGCATGTGTGAGATGATGTACAGGTCTGGAGGCGGGGCCAGTGCGTTAACTGCGTTAAAATATTTTAATTGCATTATTTTTACATAACTAATTAATTAAGTTAACACGTTAAACTGACAGCCCTACATGAACAGTGTTGGGCAAGTTACTTCCAAAATGTAATACATTATATATTACTAGTTACTGTCTTTTGAAAGTAATTAGTTACATTACAATATTACTGTCTCTGAATTGTAATGCGATACACTACTTTTGAGTTACTTTCACCAAAATATCCACAGAAGTATTATAAAATGCCAAAATGTAGTTTATTGCTGGCTGCTCATTCTACATCCAGTGGAGGGTAATGTGGTAGGTCTATATAGCATACAATTATAAAATCATATTTAGATGCCGGTATGTAGGTCTACATTAATGTTACGTTGTAGTTTAGGTTAAACACAGATAAGCACAAACCACATTATTACATTCATAAATAACACCGGTAAATAAAGCGAAGTGTTATAATGTATTTAAACACAATACCTAGCCTATAGGCTATTTTGAACGGTTTCAGAAGAAAATAATGAAAAATATAAGTTGCTAAACAAGCCAAAATTAGGCTAATTCAATGCGAAACTGAAAGCAAACGGCGTTCTCGCACAGCCTACCTCTCTCATTCGACATTAATCCAATTAAATGTGTCCATATTTCCGATGTATTTGAATGCTAAACTATTATTTATTATGTAAACCTGGCTTACTTAACGCGCTTAAAAAACATCCTCGTCACATGAGCAAATGTGTGTTTGGCCCGAGGCTGAATGGCACAAACTTTACTACGCAGTACGCAATATTTAAATTAACCAGTGTATCTATATGTTTGGTTGACTGACTGTATTTTATTCTGATAATGAACAGGCTGCAACATTTGCAATGATGTAGGCTATGTGTGTGCGTGAGGCGCCGGCGCAATCGAACAGTGGAAACAAACAAACAAACAAAAAATACTCTGTCATTTTTGGTCATACAGATCATTCGAGACTGCAATGTGTTTACTTTTATTTCTGTCATCTCGGTTTCCTTTCCGTGGACTTTTGTAGAGCGCCGCGCCATATAAATAGCCTGTGAACCAAACTCAGCATCATATCTCTGTCTTTTCCTTTTGTTTTGTTAATCTGTTAATTAGCCTATTTAAGTCAAATATTTTGCATATGCGTTCATTTTATATATAGACTATGATTTAATAAAAACAGATTTTGTTATTTTTAGTTCAACTTAATTTTTGTTGCTTGTCTGCACTCGTCCGCCGCCTTTTTCCCCCTCTTCTCCGACCCCGCAGTTTAGTGTTAGTGGCACCAGTCCAGTGTTTCCAGGTTTTACTCGTGCTATTTCTCGATGTTGAGAGTTTGGTGTCGCACATATCATAAATAGCCTGTGAACCAAACTCAGCATCATATCTCTGTCTTTTCCTTTTGTTTTGTTAATCTGTTAATTAGCCTGTTTAAGTCAAATATTTCGCATATGCGTTCATTTTATATATAGACTATGATTTAGTAAAAACGGATTTTGTTATTTTTAGTTAAACTTAATTTTTGTTGCTTGTCTGCACTCGTCCGCCGCCTTTTTCCCCCTCTTCTCCGACCCCGCAGTTTAGTGTTAGTGGCACCAGTCCAGTGTTTCCAGGTTTTACTCGTGCTATTTCTCGATGTTGAGAGTTTGGTGTCGCACATATTGCACCTGACTATGCATTCTTCTCATTTTCTCCGATGAACTGAAAATAACAGGAGTGTGTCCATCTCACAAATGTAGAATCCATCTCTGCAGTCATCTCAAACATCTAATTCCAGCAACAGAAGATAGACAAACTATTTTATCCGCAGAATTTTTTCTCTGGCGCTGTTTTGCGGTGTTTGTAAATTCACCACTTAATTTTGAGTTAAAATATGTTGTTGTATCTTGTTAGTTAAACTTAATTTTTGTTGCTTGTCTGCACTCGTCCGCCGCCTTTTTTTCCCTCTTCTCCGACCCCGCAGTTTAGTGTTAGTGGCACCAGTCCAGTGTTTTCCAGGTTTTACTCGTGCTATTTCTCGATGTTGAGAGTTTGGTGTCGCACATATTGCACCTGACTATGCATTCTTCTCCTTTTCTCCGATGAACTGAAAATAACAGGAGTGTGTCCATCTCACAAATGTAGAATCCATCTCTGCAGTCATCTCAAACATCTAATTCCAGCAACAGAAGATAGACAAACTATTTTATCCGCAGAATTTTTTCTCTGGCGCTGTTTTGCGGTGTTTGTAAATTCACCACTTAATTTTGAGTTAAAATATGTTGTTGTATCTTGCGTTACTGAGATTGTAACGAGTAATAATATTACCCAAATTTTATTAGTAATGCGTTATATTACTGCATTACAGCAAAAAGTAATATACTACTGTAATATTATTACTTTTTTAATGCGATACTCCCAACACTGTACATGAACTTATATAATTATTATAACATATAAGAACAGTGTTCTTGGGGGTTCACTAAAACCAGCTAACTAACAAGCACACAAACAAACAAACAGTTTGTGTAGCCTACGCTTCAGTACAATTCAGCCCGTGATTCAGCCCATTAATTTTTACAATAAAATTATGTACATTATGCTGTAAAATCCTGTGCAGAAA